TCCTTATGCACCTTATTTGCTGCAAGCACTTTCAAGCTATCGAAAATCGCTGGTTGATTAATAGCTTCTTTCCGTGCCCGTGCACCGGAAAAAAATATCAGTTGCAGGTTACCAGTAGTTCTGTTAGTTGGTATAAGTCCAAGGCGACTTCGGGTTCAATATGTCTTCGATTGAAGAGTAGGAAATTTTACTTTCTTTTTCCAACAAGCTACCACGTCATGCATTGCATTTACGATTAAAAGCTAATCCATTTGTGCCGCCAGGAGCGACTTTAGCTTTATATTTGCATGTTAGACGAGTAGGCATAATATTCCCAACCTAAGCGGAATTTATCATCGAGACAGACCAATCATCAGATAGAATTTGGAGGCCATTTTTTGAACTTTTCTTCTCAAAATACCCGACTTATCATGCATAACAGCAAGCAACGTCAGATCGGTCGGCAAATTTCCAGACAGTGATGTCCAGCTTTGTAAAAGCCACATAGTTACTAATTACTAATGTTCTTGTTTGATACTCTATCGACAGAGGCTTAATTATCATAAGTACCATTAAGTGCAGCGCTTTTTGCGGATGTTTTGCGATTAATGGGTAACATCTGGTCTACAGTAAATATTTCGACCAAGTTCATTGAAGCTATCCACACATCTGAATGCTTCTTTACCCAAAAAGTAATCTAAAGCAGAGCCCACCTTATGATCTTCCTAGTCCCTGCTGATTAGCTTCCGTATACACTTATAGGCTTGATATGTGAAAATAACGGAGGCGAAGCATAAGTAGAGAACGAGAAAAATGTTCAATTGCTGGAATAATTTGTTTATTTATCTGAGCTTTCGAACTCTTACTGGAGACCATCGCCAGAGATAAAAGCGGCGGCAAAATAAGCAACGGTTATAGGGGGTAGAGGCTACTCAAATCCCGTACCACTACTCCGGAGGTGACTGAGCAGGGCTCTCTAGGCGGCCATCGGATCGATATATCGATTAAATGAATTCTCATCGGAAGCCCAGGCTTCAATCAACTCAGAGCTTGTCTTGCTCCGGGCGTGGGCGATTATTGTCGTTGCCGCGACTCTAATTTCGTGACTCGTCTTGTGAGTATGGACAGTACCTCCATCACGCCGTCACGCAGCCAACTTATATTCTTGTCTGCGTGATCTGAGCATTTGGTCCAGATAGACCTATATAGTTAAGAGGACAGTTGAGGCAAAAAAATGCGATAAACTACACTCGACTGTTTATCAGTCCTTGATTTTCATGAACCCGCTGTGCATGCGAGTTTTGGGCGGGTGTGCAATGCCGACACCTAGGCATGCAGCAATGCACTCGGTTGCCTCCGACACATCCTTGACAGCGCAGGCCACAACATAGACTTCTGTTTTGTTGCCGCTTTTATCTCTGACGATGGACTCCAGTAAGAGTCTGAAAACTCAGATGAATAAAGGAATGATTCCAACAATCGAACAGCCTTACTCTTCTCTACTTATGACTACACATGTTAGAAAACACAGTCATGACAAAGAGCAACCCAGTGTTCCATTTGCATAGGTGTGGATTCTGTAAGCGACTCCGAAGGAGCACACACAAATTTCGCGCAAAATTGAAAAAGACTTCTCTCCTCAGTCGGAGTGAATTAAAAGTATTGATTAAAAGACTGTTTTCACAAGTCGATTACCCCCACAGGGTATTTCACGTTGTAACGTTGTAGTACACCTCTATTGTAAACATAGTTTACAAATTACTTTAATTTAATAAGCTGCAACCTTGTACAACGCCTGGCAACTTATCAAGCAGTCCTATGACCCGGAACTCGAGTACTGGCGCCACGATTGATGGCACACCGTTTAGTCCTATAAACAGATTACAGGGACTATATGTAGGTGAAATCGGATGCTGGGAAAAAGGCGAAAAGTAAGCAGCTATCGGCTACTGCAAGCCATGTCGGGATTCAAGGATACGTCATGGCGGGAGTATTTGGT